TAGAGACATATTGCAGCACTAAGTTACCATGGTAGCTGTTGAACTGTGTCCCCTCATTATTTCACTTTTTTGCCTTGTTACACAGCTTTAAACTCAAGGTTGTTAACTTGAGCAGAGTTATGCAACCACAGATTCTTTGTTCACCCTTTATTTCAGACACAGTGGTATAATAAACAAGCACAAAGTCAGCTCACCAGAGTCTGAGATGTCATCCCAGTACGGCGCGTCAAACTCATAATCTGCCTTGAGAATTTGCTCAAACAGCTTCGAATCGTTCTCGTCGTAGAACGGAGGATAGCCACAGAGCCTGGGGAGAACACAACGGTGGGCATGAGGGGTTATTATCCGGCTGATGTTAGATTCTTTAACCTGAATCTGAAACGTTCTGCTGGGCCCTAATCTCATTTACTGGGAGTTGGATTATTCCTTTTTTTATGTATGTAGTGAAACAGAAGATGTCTCACAGGGATTATGAAAAAAAAAACAATCAATGGTTTATATAGAAACCTTGGATTTTAGCTGGAGCTTAATATAAGATGTTTAATTTTGTTTTTGTTCTATGAAAATAAAACTATTTTCTACAAACAGATGGGGAAAAAGTATGCAACATAGTTTGCATTTTGGAAAATGCTGTCTTTGATTGCTTCATAAGAAAAACTAATAAATACTAAACAAAGAGTAAATAGGAGTTAATTACCAGTACTCACAAAATATAAGCAATGACCCCAATGGACCAGCAGTCCACAGCTTTACTGTAGGGTTTCTGTGCCAGAACCTCAGGAGCTGAAACAATCAAACATTTTATTGATTAGAAATACTATCACCTACACAGAGGAGCCATTTCCAGAAAAAAAAGAGGCTGGTGAAAAATGTGAGGACAGTTTCTGGTGTTACCCTCTGACCACAGGTAGATGATTAAACTGACTTCAGTTCAGGCAAGCCAGTCATGTGCGAAAAAGATCAATTTCAGTCGAACTCATAAATATGAGGGCTGCATCCTTATGAGACCGACCTGAAGCTAAGGACACAATCCTCATATTTCTATGCTGAACAGAGGTCCCCTCTCTCAGGGAACATTGGCTACATTACAAAATGAAAACCACAAACTTCAATATGTTTTATTGTTTTTTGTGACAGACCAAAAAAATTATTGATAATACTAATAAAAATTATTGTGACATAGAAGAAAATGCATATAACAGTGCATTTAGCCTCCTAGAGTTATGCCTTATAATGCTTAATTTTCTTGTAATGTGTTTTACTGAAATGCGTTTTTTTCCTTTGGAAATGTTATAAATCTCAGATTTTGAAACTTGTTTTTTTAATGTCTCAATTATCATTTGACTCAGCTGTTTTCTGCTCTTATTTTCCAGACACCAAATCTCTCTTAGATAAGAACGATTGTGTGGCTGGTTATACTCCTGCAGCAGTGTGTCGCAGTGAGCTTGACACAGACATTTTTTATTTATGCTTAATATTGAAGCGTGGTCTGCGCTATACACTGTGGGTCTAGATACGGCCGAGGCGGCGAAGAAGTGGGGGCGAGTTTGTCCGACAACGGAGGGACATGACGGCCAAAAAGAGCGAAGATCCAGTTGAAAAAAGGGTACCAGCGTTCTCGCGCACCTCGCTCTTCTAGCTGGAGTTGTTTTCTGCAATTTCGGTTATAAAAAACAAAACAAGCCGACCTCCTGTCTGCGGCACTGTCTGCGCTAAGGATGGGACTTCCCATGCTAATGGCTTGGATTTATTAGCAAACATTGCCCCCCTGTGGTACTTGTATGTTACTATCACAAGTTGCTGAGGACTTCCCAGGAACATCGTTGGTTCTAATTATAGCCCCGGCCTGTATAAGCGTCCGGCCATTTTTTACCTCCGCCTACAGCCACACAGGCCATTATTAGAGACCCGGCTGCTAATGGAAAACAGGCCAATATTAGAGGATTTACGGTAGTTTGTTGCTTGAGGACCAAATCTTTCAACCTCAGTCTCATCTAATCAGGGACATAGTTGTCGCGTCGCTTCAAGTGCATTGAAAATAAGGCTTTTTGTCTATTTTCTGGGCAGGTCCCCTTTCCATAAAGAGCAGATTTGTGGAGAGCAGAAGTAATAGTTGTCCTGTGAACAGATCCTGAAGCCTCAGCTGTGAAGCTCTGCAGCTTCCTCTGAGTTAGCATGAGCCTCTGGCTACTTCTTTGATTAACAGAATATTACTGATTTGCAACTTTACAGAAACAACCATGTTTAGGTGGAATTGCAATAGTGGTATGCTACATTTATTGCCAGAAAATAGATAGATGAGGATTATGTGACATATTTAAAGCTTGTTTTTTATACATAGAATCTTTTTTTAAACTTGGCTTTACTCTTATTATAGAATAGAACCAAATACAATAGAATAGAGAATACATTTATTGTCCAACAATGGGGAAATATGTCTGCCGTGCTCCTTAAGTTTCCTGAAGCTACTTGTTAATAAAGGTGTCTAGTAAAGTTAGATGTAAAAAGATTAAATTACAGTAAGATGAACTCTACAAATCAAGTGATTTCAAAATGAAACGGGCTGTTCTGGATCTTATTTAAGGGTGTAAATGGAGTGAACTACAGATAGATGGAAATCTTTATTTTCTGTTTCTTTCAATCAAATTTAAAAAAAAACATGTGTATTTTTATTTATTTATTGTTGCTTATCAAAACTGCTTTTTTGTGTTGGTCTATCACAAACGGATAAAAACAAACAGGAAACAGTCATAGGGGTGTAGCTGAACTCCTTACCGACGTATCCAGGGGTCCCGCAGGCTGTGGCCATGACGCCACCCGTGCCCTCCATCTTTGACAGCCCAAAGTCACTGATCATGATCTTTGAATCATCATGAGGACTAAAGTAGAGCAAGTTCTCAGGCTGAAAATACAAACAGGAAACAGCAAGAAGATCAACAAGTTGTTTTCCCCTTTCCTGAAATCCTCAGAGCTAAGAAGTCAGACGGATTTGCTTTTTTAAATTGGTCTTTTAAAGAGCTTTCACGGCTCAGTAGAGACCCTTCTACAATGTACTAAGAAGGAAAATCCCCTGACATTTAACCTCCATGGGTGAACACAGCAACATGTGATTTAAATGCCAGGGATTTCCCCTTTCAGCTAGTGAAAAAAAACCTCAGAGCCAAATATAAAATGCTGCAGTACCTTCAGGTCCCGGTGCACTATGCCCATGGAGTGGAGATAGTTGACAGCGTCCAAAACCTGTCGGATGAGGCGGCTGGCATCCATCTCTGTGTAGAAGCCCTTTTCTACAATCCGGTCAAACAGCTCCCCACCAGACACCCTGTCAGCACAAAGAGCAACCTGCCTTCCATCACTCACATATTAGTGCATGTATTCAGCCTTTTTAGAGAGAAACAACCCAAAATAGAACAATACCTACAATATATGCAATATTTTTATTCCAATGTAAGAAAATTATCCAACTGTTACCATTGATAGAAATATTTTATTCTAAAAAGCGGGTCTGGTGTTTTTTTTAGGCTCAGCCTGGTTATGTCCATAGACCAAAGAATGAGAAGTTAATCCTCCACATTCTATTTCATAAATTAGTTTTGTACAAAATAGTGATATAAAGCAAAGTCCTAGAGCAGCGGTAACCAATTAAAAATCTGTGAGATCAGAATAAAGAAAATCATCAACCAGTAAAGGTGCGGAGATATTTTTAATGATAATCTGTTGCTTTAAACAGAATTTAACTTACGTAAAATGAAGTAAAATGAGGTGTTTATGCATCCACAATATACATTGAATAAAAAAAAAATGCATATGCATATATATATATATATATATATATATATATATATATAATTTTTTTCCATTTAAAATCTAAAATGTTTTTTTATATACATTTTATAAAACACCTGAACTGACTATCAGTTTCTTTTTTTCTTTCTTTTTTCTGTCTTAATGTTCGCAGTGGGCTTTAGGCTGCCCTGCAAGGCTTTAAACCTGGGTTTAAATGGAGACAAAGCCATATCACGATGCTTATTCATGAGTCTGGATCCATATTTATTTTTAATTCTGTTCATGCTGGAGAATCCTGCTTCACAGCAGCAGGTTGAGCCAAACATCCTCTAAATGTGCAGGGTCATCTTTGAGCACGCCATTTCACTTTTCTTTCACCAGTTCACCGCAGTTCTTCCATCAGTCCACACTTTCTCTGCTCTCTTTTTTTCATTGCCTTCTCCTTCTTTCCCATTGCCCGGCTTGCCACAGGTTTGCCTGCTGTGTCTAACAGCAGCAAACAAGACAGAAACATCTCATTGGCTAATTTGTAGCCTGGAGCCAGACACTCTGGAGGGCTTTACCGTATAAACAGGAGAAGCAGCGCAAGTGAATTTAGACACCGCCGTTGGACAAACTGCAGTAATTTCTAACTTTTTAAAATCAGGTTGGGTCCGGATTAGCCAGCAGGTGTGTCCGGATCTGGGCCGCTAATCTGTGACCTCTGTCCTAGAAACCTCAGCATGATGGTAGCATCACCATGTTTTACAGGTGGGATAGTGTTGGTAGGTTAGGAAACCTTGTGACGACAGTTTGTCTCCTACGATCTCAGCTTTTATGCAGAAAGCGGCTGGCCTGTCGGTGTGCTCACTTGCAGATTATCGATCATGCTTAAGTTCATCACTTAGAACAGGAGACGCCTTCCTGCTCATTTTACACCTGAGAGTTTCTGGGTTATAGTTAAACAGTAAGACCGATGCTCTTTTACCTACATTTTAATCAGGTCGGTTGAGCTCAATGGAACTCTTAAGACGGGTCCAACCGGACTATAATCTCTAACAAACAACAAAGCTGGTTTTGCAACAGAGAAAGTAGGATAACATTGAGCTTCTTAAATGGTACTGGCTTCAGCGTGAGTATTAAATGCCCCATATGTACCTGGAAAATTAGTGATTTAAATCAACTCCATCATTTCTCTGATGAAAACATATACAGCCAATCAATATACAGTTAAGCTTATTGATGGACAGAAAAAGGGGTTTGGTTCTCTGAAGCCTGATAAACTACATTTTACTAAGCTCATGTGAATTTATAAGAGTCTGCACGGATTACTTTGACCATATTTAGTTTTTGGGTCCATTTCTTGTGTTTGAATGTATATTCAGTAGGACATTTGTATAATTATGCCATCTTGGAGAGAAAGGAGCTCAATTGGCTCTTACAAAGCCACATTTAGGTTTCTATGCTCTTTGAAGCTAAAATGAAACCAACAAAATGTAAATAAATTTAGATGTTTAAGATTTAAAAGTCAAGGACAACGTTCAGGTAAAATTACAGCAGCATTGTTTTGCATGATGGTCTCCTCTCATTTGTTTTTCCTCTTATTTCCATAAGGGAATCATGGAGCACATCACGTGGTTTGACACCTGTGCCATTAATATCCATAAGGGTTCATAACTCATGTTATCTGACCAGTCAGGCATTTAAGCTCCAAAATATTCGGTGCTACTAACAGCAGCGTGTTTTGAAGGTACTTTCTGCGGAAGAGGATTAGGACCACTGGGAAAAAAAAAGTTTACTGATTTTAAAATTTTATTTCAATTCAGTGTTGGAAAAAAGTCAGAATTCTGAGTTTAATTTCAGAATTCTGACTTTTTTCTCAGAATTCCGACTTTTTTCTCAGAATCCCGACTTTTTTCTCAGAATTTTTATGCTGTTTGTTATCTGTCAGAATTCTGAGAAAAAAGTCGGAATTCTGAGAAAAAAGTCACAATTCTGAGATTAAAGACAGAATTCTGAGAAAAAAGTCAGAATTCTGACTTTTTTCTCATACTAAACTGAAATAAAATGTAAAAATCAGTTAACTTTTTTTCATTTTTTTCAGTGGCCCTAATCCTCTTCCGTAACTTTCTTTAATGATTTTCAGATCTATACCGTAGTGTTACTTTAAATGAATTGTGAAGTGTGGGAAGTTGTATTGTATTTCTTTGTGTTGTATTTTATTTCTTTAGATGATAAATGTTAGCAATATGTTGATTGCATACCTGGAGCGTGTAATGAAGAGAATTTCCCCCTTGGATCATTTAAATATTTCTGATTCTGATCTACTAGTTTAAACTTTAAGCCATTTTTTTTATTTGCACAGATCAACATATTGAAACTAAAAGCTTATAGCATGATCTAAAGATTTGATGAGGTTTGTATTTGATGCAGCCTCATGTAACGGCAGAACCAGGAAAGAAGGTTTGCATGAAGTGGCCATTTAAAGTATCCTTCACATGAATGTGAATACAGTTTTAAAACTCCCAATCTTGAAAGTTGAGGCCAAATCCCCAGATTGTTGTAACTTATTGTAGGAATATTAATCCTCGTAGATCCAGAATTTGAGTCTATTCCACAATTATGGTCATAAATTAGACAATATTTTGTAAATGCATCATTTTTTTTTATTATTTGTTTGAAAATAGGATAGTGCACATTGTGAAGTTTTGTATTTAGTCCATTTATACGAAAAAATGCAGTTACTAAAAAGACATAAAAAGGAAAGTTAATTAGGATTTTTAGAATTATTTCTACTCACCGAATATCAGAATAATAAGAAAGATTATTTATTGCAGATTTTTACAAACAAACCATTTGGGATAAAATAGTGACGTAAAGGCACTCTGATTAACCCATAAAAGTGGGATATATTAGAGGCATGCCTGTGATTATTTTTAAGACAATGTTCTCTTGAATGACATCATGGAAAAAATTAAAAACACATTAAGGTAATATATCAGAAGCACAACTGTGAACATACACAAGTCTGGGTACAATTTCCAGATACCAGAAGGAGCCGCGTTCAGCTGCTCAACTGATGATATGCAGGTATAAAGAGAACATGAGCAGCCACCATAGTGTTCAGGAAGACAGGTGCTGCTGAGAATCCAGTCAACCTCAGAACAATGAAAGAGTATCAGTGATGGCAGACGGGTCGACTAAGAGAGCCAGAGGCCATTCCTCCATATGCAGTCTAACTATCCTTCTTACAGTTGTTATAATATTATTCTAAAGGGGGTCTGTGATGAAAGAAAAAAATCCAATTATTATGCTAATCAAAAGTTTCTATCAGCATCAAGATGCTGACTCTGTGACATAGAATAACATCATGCAGAGCTCTGCAGCATTCGGCTCTGATGAGGCAGCCGTTCCGAACTCCTTCAATCTGCAATTAGAAAAGGCATGGGCATAACAAGTGACTCATTAAGTTTAGCACCAAGTGCAAGTACGCTGCTGCTTTCAGTGCTGACTGGCAATCAGTGTTTATTTGAGAATGGGTGGAAGGCAACATTAGGCAGCTTTCCGAGATAAAGAGAGGGCAGGTGGCATTAGGCCAAACCACAGAGGCATTAGTCACAAACGCTGTCAAACAATGTAGGGAAGAGAAAAGAGCTTGAATATCGGGAAGAAATTTATCTTAGAAAGAAAATCCCTTTTTAAACTAAAATGTTGCCAAGTAGGAGAGAATTACAGCTTACAATATTTTTTTGGGGATGCACTGTAAAAGTGACAATAATCGGCACCAGAAAAACCTGAATCTGAAGTTGTAACCCTGAAAAGAAAACTAATAAATGTCAAAGAGAAACATGATAAACCTTTCAAAATACAATGATATAGCACATAATGAAAATATTGTGTGTTTCGATATGTTGTGCTACGGAGCCCCTAAAGGGACATGGAGGGGGAAAAAAGAACTTTTGCGAGATCCTACAATACTTTTGCGAGATCCTA